AAAAAAAAAAAACCATAAAAAACTACCCGATATGGTGGTGGGCGTCTGTAATCCCAGCTACTCAGGAGGCTGAGGCAGGAGTATTGCTTTAACCCGGGAGGCAGAGGCTGCAGTGAGATCAAATTGCACCATTGCCGTCCAGCCTGGGCAACAAGAACGAAACTTCGTCTCAAAAAAAAGAAAAAAGAAAAGAAAGTCGTGGTAAAAAGCAAATACGTGGAGGCATATTATGTCCACAGTGGTAGCTATTATGATGTAAACGAAGGCAAAAATAATTAATAAGAACCTAACCTAGAATGTTATGATGACATACATTGTATGCAATATATTGCATCCAGCAAAATTTAAACTCTGAAAAATTCAGGTGAAGTGTCTTTAGTTCTCATTTCTGGCATCCCACCTATGACAATCCACCGCTGAAGCTAAGTACGTCTATTACTTCGGATCACAGGGTAGTCTGATATCTTTTGGCAAAAAGGTATTTAATCACTCTTTCCTTCAACAAATATTACTTGAAACATTACATTTTTCTGAACTAGAACTTTATGCATATTATAAGCATAGTTGCTTGAAAACATAGTAGTGAATTTCCTAAGAAACGAACAATAATCTATGCAAGCATAGTGGCCAAACACTAACTCAATGCAAAGGATTATTAAATCTGTTTCTCTAAAGAGATGATTTAAAAACAAAACTCTTTTCTATTTATTGTCTCAGTCTGTATACATTTGAAAACTTAATTATTAATGCGGTGCTTAACAAAGTGTATAAAAGAGCATGTGAATGCTTAGTTTAGATAATTGTGTAATTCACAATGCAGTGTAATTAAAAGTGAAAGTGATCTTATTCAACATAGCGACTGCATGTATCGACATGAATTATATGCATATACATATATGTGCTCCCTTTCACACGCCTACCACTTTTCACACACAAATACATACATACATACACAATACAAAACATAGTCTTACCCAAGATTTTCAAGGTCAAAAATGCGATTCAAGTCACAGTCAATATATCTGGTACACTTCTTCACTGCTCTTGGGTTAGTAATAAATGGTTTTACCTCCAGCCCTGTTCTCTGAATTTCAGCGCCATTCTTTAGCCAATGCTTAACCAGAAATACTCCAGTTAGCTCATTTCCATGGGTTCCTCCAAAGATAGCAACCTTTTTAATAGGTTCTTCAGCAATATGACAAGAAGTCATTTCACCAAGTAGTTTTTTATCTGATTTCTGCAATTCAGAGGAGAGATCAAAAGAAATTCAATTTCTTAAGAAAGCTTTAGAAATTTAAATCTAAATGAGACTTTAACCAAAGGGCAAAGTACAGAGTTCCCTTGAGAGGAGTATATTTTAATTTTCTGTTACAAGTTCTGAGCCCCGTTTATGGACACTCCCTTTTTTTGGCCCTGCCCTTTTCCATATTTGGATTAAAATATGCAAAGATCAACTAGAGATACAGCTGTTTACTTTAACTTCTGACTCCCTCAGATGGCCAGTAGATCTAAATACAGTAATAAATTAGCATTTCATACTAACACAAAAATTCTGTTCTTTTCCTCCGCTAGAATGTCATCCAGTGAGGCTTTCACAATTACTTGTAATAATAAAACTTGTTTATACATTTCTAATCTCAAAAAACGTGGCCCACTCAGTATTTCCACTGGCATTTAAAAACATTTCTACTCTGAAATGAGTTCAAGCACTTTTCATGATCTGAGGGCATCTGAATCTCACCTCTCTAAGCAGCCAAAGGCTGAACCTCAGAGACTTCTTCTTGAACTGACACCCCTTCTTTCACAATCCTTTTTCACAGTCAGAAACAGAGGGGCCAATTCAATGATCACTGAGACTTGAAAAACTACTCTGAAACTTCCCTTAATTTCTTTCTCATGAAGTTTTTGGTAATTCTCTGTTAACTTCCTTATGAATCTTCCTCATTTTTTTGCCTAAATACCAAAGGAAAGACAACTGTTAGTAATTTTCAAGTCTTTACAATGCCTGAAAATATCTTGGGACATACTCCATGTACTAACCACATCATGTGAACTTACACACACAGCCTAACTCACTGTCAGCAGGGACTCTCCACTGAACTGTGTTACTCAAAAGGGGATCTTATTAGGGGAAATTATCCAGAATACTAAGATGATTACCTCCCTTTGGAGAAATGACTCTGAGGCAATCTGATTTGATTTCATGCTTAATCACCCAGAAAGACAACTATGTTCAAGTACTGGAAATACCACGTACTAGTAATGCCAGGTTGTTTGATACAGAGTGTGATAAGAGTAATTTATTACCATTGCACAGTATCTTAATTTATAATGCTCTTCCACTCAGTTTACTCATACATCAATTTTATAAGTAGGGCGGGTTAGGTATTGAGATCCCCACTGCAGGGGTAAATGAAGGAGAGGTTAAGTAACACAATTAAGGTTCTGCAGGGACATAGGAGAAACCAGGCCTGGGACCCGTGTTTCTCATTCCAAGCCTAGTGTTTTTCGCAGGACAATAGGGTGCCTCTCTGTTATTTTTGGTCTTCTTCATGGTTCGGTTCTAGTTTTACTCTTTCTGAATTCATATCAACAGCCATTACAGAGTGCTCGGGAAACCAACATGCATATAAAAAAATACATGGTGGAAAAATAAAATATGAATGCTTTCTAATATTTAATAAACCAAACTGAATGTTCTTCCTTCAAGAGCTTTAATGCAGAGAAAGAGAAAGCAAAATCACCAAATCAAATCTACACATGAAAACTACTGCTCTAATATTTTTAAAAAGCTCCTGTGGCCTTTGACTGTCTATCGGCGTCCATGTACACTGAACACTTCAGATGGTGTAGAGATGATGAAAACACACATAAAAGGAAACAGATGACAGTTGTTTAGTTGCTCTGGTTCTAAGAGCAGTAACTATGGTGAATTATTAACACTCTACTATGCTTGGTTTCTTTTCTGCGTATTTGTAGTTTGCTCTGTCCTTTGCCCTAGTCTCTCTAGAAATGCTGCTTCAGTTATTTACTCGTATCTGGCACAAATGACTTGCATTCTGAAGCTTGTTTTATGGAATTTTAACAGATCAGCACTTTGAAGCACATTTCACATTCATAAATAAAGTTTCTCTTACATGTCAGAATGAATAATTTTTTTGAGAGTTAGTGAATTGCAGAATTATTTCCCATACTTACCTTGTTGATTGTACACAGAGTTTGTCTTCTGTGGGAAGCTTTATTAGGAAAAAGGAGAGCATTTCCTTAAACTAGAGCAAGAGAGGCTTTTCATACTCTTATACCAAGTTAACTTCCGAAAGGTTTTTAACTCCCTCTTTCCCAAAGTGTACTCGATTTTTGGGACCCACAAAAACCACACATTTTTATTAGTTCACTTCTTTTTTGAGAGTTCAGAGAACTGATAGTATACAAAGTGAAACCCTTTTTAGTTGTCACTATCTCATTATTAAGTTGAATATATAATGTTCTGAAGTACTCAAAAGAGTAAGCATAACTTTCAGCGTTACGAATGTTTTGTGGGATGGAGTTGCCTAATTTAATAGTAAAATAATGTAGTTTAAAACAGAAGAAGGCTGGACGTGGTGGCTCAGGCTTGTAATCCCAGCATTTTGAGAGGCTAAGGTGGGTGGCCCTCCTGAGGTCAGGAGTTCGAGACAGCCTGGCCAACATGGTGAAACCCTGTCTCTATTAAAAATACAAAATTAGCTGGGTGTGGTGGCAGTGCCTGTAATCCCAGCTACTCAGGAGGCTGAGGCAGGAGCATCACTTGAACCCGGAGGTGGAGGTTGCAGTGAGCCGAGATTGCGCCATGCACTCCAACCTGGGCAATGAGAGCAAAACTCCGTCTCAAAAACAAAACAAAACAAAACAAAACAAAACAAAACAAAAAACAAAACAAAACACAAAACAAAACAAAAGGAGAGCAAAGTTTTACTTCACAGTCGTGGCTGTCCAGTAGAAGAGAATTTTCTTTTCTTTTCAGACAGAGTTTCACTCTTGTTGCCCAGGCTGGAGTGCAATGGGGCGATCTCGGCTCACCACAACTTGTGCCTCCTGGGTTCAAGTGATTCTCCTGCCTCAACCTCCCAAGTAGCTGGGATTACAGGCATGTGCCACCACGCCCAGCTAATTGTTTTGTATTTTTAGTAGAGTTGAGGTTTCACCCTGTTGGTCAGGCTGGTCTCGAACTCCCAACCTCAGGTGATCCAACTGCCTCAGCCTCCCAAAGTGCTGGGATTACAGGTGTGAATCACCGTGCCTGGCCTTGGAGGAGACAAATTTAAGGTGGGTTGTTTCGTAAATAGTATGATTCGGGGATAAGAAGGGTTTTTTGTTAAAAATTATACATAAGATGGCTCATACATCTGTGATGTTCAATAGTTATGTAATCAAAACTACTTTTACTACTTCAATTTTCTCTTTCCCTGTGGCCCATCCTGACCAACTTTCCAGGTGGAAATAAATAACAAGAACAAAACAAGGATAAAATAGATTAAGTTTATAAACTGTTAGCAAAAATTCTATATTGCTCATGTCTGCAGTCCTTACAGATGTAATTGGCTTCAGGGTTTTTTTTTAAATGAAAATTCTATTTTTGGGGTGGGTAGGTGAGTGTCGTAAATGTATGCATATATGTATGTAGATGTCAAGTCAAAATCTGCTTCCCTGAAGCTTCCATTCATGTTTTGGGTAACTCCTCTCTGGAACCATGATAAATAACAAGTTTTATTTTTATTGTTTCTTCTTCTTCCCAAAATAAAAGATGACCCTATTCCTTGAAAGCTATTCCTTACTCTGGCATTCAAGGTCTGCTATTATCTAGTATCAGTCTACACCTAATACTATTTCCTATTTCCTAATAAATTATCTCTTTTTGAGATAATTTTCAAAGAAACTACTAAAATGTCTATGGTCTTCTAGTCCTAGGCCTTTACTAACAATCTTCCTTTCATCTCTGAGCCCTTTCCACCGTCTTCAAATGATTAGAAGATATGGTAACAACAAAACATGGTCTTTGAACTCAGAACTAGAATCCACTACCTGGCCCACAGTAAGATCCGAATAAATGGCAGCTACTGTTATTAATATTAAATAAGGGCTAACATTTACTGTGTGCCAGATTGTCTATTTCATCTTTCAATACTTTTTTTTTAAGGCGATTGTTGTTATTGCTCCTTTACTGAGGAAGTAAATGTAGGTCTAGGAGGTGTTCAATAAACAACTTAACCAAGGTCACAGGGCCAGAAATTCACAGTCTTCTTCGCCAGGAGGCCTGCAGCTCAACGCCCAGGGTCGCACACCACGCGGCTTTCCCCGCAGACCGTCTATGCGGCTCACGGGCGCCTTCCGTCCCGCAAGCTCCGCAGCCCCGGGCCGTGCCTCCTTGACGGCTCTCCGCCTTCCATGGCTGCCACCCGAACCCGGGCTTCAGCTCTGTCCCCAGCCTCCTGGGGACTCAGATTCCCTGACCCTGATCCGACCCAGTAATTCAGCCAGATACCTCGGGTGGCCTTCGAGGCACCCTCTGGGTGGCAGCCAGCATCTGACAAACGGATGTCTGGGCCCCAAGACACGGCCAGGGGGTGCGGAGAAGCAGGGCACACTTTTTTGATGATGCTGGGGCTGAGGTCGGTTGGGCAGGAGATCTGACCCTGCCTCTCCAGTCACAGGACAGTCTCCTCTCCTCTCCGGGCAAAACTCTAAAGGGTTGGTGCCATCCCTGCTCCAACAGCGTGAGAACTTCACAGTGTGAGATCGCCAAGGCGCGTTAACGTTATCGCTCCTGGCAGAAGGAGGACAGCCAGGCCACGAGGACGCCATTGCTTTGAGGAGGCGGCCTCTACGCAGGCGCGACCCACGGCGCCTACGCACTGCACGGCGCCTACGCACTGCACGGCGCCTACGCACTGCACGGCGCCTACGCACTGCACGGCGCCTACGCAC